TGTATAAGAGACAGCTCTCTCTCTCTCTCTCTCTCTCTCTCTCTCTCTCTCTCTCTCTCTCTCTCTCTCTCTCTCTCTCTCTCTCTCTCTCCCCCCTGCTTCCGCCTGGGACAAATTGGCATCAGTACTCAGTCATGTTGGGAACCCTCATGTTGCCTGTACCCGACCGTACAGATGGCTTGTATACGTTCATTACCAGGGTACGTTATGTTCGGGGGGGACGAAGGTAGCCATGGACGCTGTAGTCTGTGTGTGTGTGTGTGTGTGTGTGTGTGTGTGTGTGTGTGTGTGTGTGTGTGTGTGTGTGTGTAGCTACGGTCTTCCCCCCAACATAACGCACCCTGTTAATGAATGCATACAAGTCATCTTTCCCGTGGGGTGCAGGCAACATGACGAGGGTCACACTGCTACTCTGTGTGTGTGTATGTGTGTACCCTGGTGATGAATGCATACAAGCCATCTTTCCCGTGGGGTACACGCAACATGACGAGGGTCACACTGCTACACTGTGTGTGTGTGTGTGTGTGTGTGTGTGTGTGTGTGTGTGTGTAAGTCCGCACGGGACAAATTCGGGCCCGGGCACGGTTTCAAATTAGCCTGCACCCTCTCTACGTGGGCTCCACAGGGCCCCACCAGCAGTGTTGAGTTTTCTCAACGCCCGAATGTGGACGTGTTGGCGGAGATGTGCAGAAATGGCGTTATTTTTCCTCTCCCCAAACAAGTCCAGACACCGGCATTGAGGAAACTCTAGGCTGCTGATGGTACCTGGCCCTTGTAGGTGCTACTCTGTCCGCACGTCCTGGTGGTTCACAAAGGTCCCGGTAGGTAGGTCGACAAAGGTCCCCGTACGTCGCTGTTAGGCACCCGCTTTTTCTGGTGTTTTTGCCTCTAACGAACGACAGCCCTGGTACGGCTGCCATGTCCAGTCTTTTTTGCCTTTTTGAAGTCCTCAGATTTGAAGTTGCAACGCAATGGTTTTTCCTGCCTCTTTCAAACTTAAAGTGTGACTCCGGAGCAGTTTCCTCAAAAATAAAATAAAATAAATGAGCTCTTCTGCAACGGCGGATTCCATTTCTTGCCTTTGTGATCCCTTCACTTTCGGCCTCCCTGCACTACTCTCCACATGCAGAGAAGACAAAAAGGAAGGCGATATATCTGTTCATTTTCCAGCGGAAGAGTCAGTATCATTTTGCGCATTCGGAGACTGAGAGTTCCCACACGAGTTCTTCAGCTCCAGTATGGAGCTATCTTGTCTGCACTACGGAGACTGACAGAGTCACGGATCTGCGGCTTGGACCCACGACCGCCCCAATGCCCTATTTTGCGCCGTTTCCATAAACTTTTCAGTCCTTGGGACCACACCCGGCAGTGAGCCACCCTGCTTTTCAGAAGGTGGCTAACTACATGGCCACCTCACAACACTGCCTTCCCTCCTCGCGGAAAACAAATGGGAAAATGACAAGTATCAATAAAAGAGGCTTACCATTTCTAAAACGCGCGTCTTTGCCATATGCCGTCCGATCTGTGTCCGATCTGTGGCCTCTGGACGGCTACGGCCTGTCACACCCTGCGCACAAACTACACTACACGCTGCATGTGGGCCGAGGCCCCGGCCCAATGTTTTGCATGTAGGGTAGTACAGGCCCACGCATTGCTCCAAGGGCCCTATGGGATCATGAATTTGGCAACTGGGCCGTTTGGTACTGCAGGGCCCGTGTTTTCCATGTGGGGCCCACGTGTCGCTCTAAGGGCCCTACCGGATCATGAATCTGGCGCGCACACAGCCGAACGGCCGAACTTTTGGGCGCCCAAAACAGAAAAGGTCCTGGGCTCTTTCTACCCTTTGTCGTTCTGCTTTCCAGTATGCATAGCTCCCTGCCACCCGATCTGAAAATTCCATGGCCAGGGTGTGACCACATTGAAAAATACTCGTGAGAGTCCCCAAAGGGTAGACATGTGGAGCCCCACGAATTCCTACGGCACGAGCTCCGTTCTCAAAGGTCTTCGGGCAATTCCTCTGACACCGTTTGACGAGGTGCTTCCTTGAAAAAAGGGGAAAAAAATACAAGCTGACAACAGAGTTGCTCTTTTTTTTTTTTTTTTTTTTTTTATAAAAGAAAGGGCGACCGCCTTGAGATATATCATTGAGCGGACCGACCCCAAGCAATTTATTAGTAGTTGGTTTCAATTGTCAAGTTTCCATCATCTGGATTCGAACACAGGTCTGTATTTCAACAGTTCATGGGTGTACCCACTGAGGCTCTTGGGTCTTTTTTTTCTCCTCCCTTTTTCTTTTCCCTCTAAAATCACTACCAGTGACGACAAAAAAAAAAAAAAAAAAAAAAAAAAAAAAAAAAAAAAAAAAAAAAAAGACAAAAGGAAAAAAAAAGGAGATACCTGCGAGTGATGGGGATGCCATTTGTGGTCTCTAGGCCGCGTTTGATGGTGAGCAGTTTCTTGAGATATTGCGAGCCGCTGGACGCGACGGGTGGAACTCGTAGCCCCACAGTTCTCTGTGGTGAGCTCTCCTGCTGAGTCAGACCAGGAAGGGAGACAGTGCTGCCACTTGTGTGCGCGCGGGTGCTAATTCCCCGAGTCTCAAGTTGTACTCACACTACAATCTTCCCCCGAATACAGCGCACGGTCATTATAGCTGAATTTAGACCCAAAGATACACCAAATTCAGCTATTATGACCGTACGTTGTATTCGGGGGAAGACTGTAGCACAACCCGACGCCATTTACGGTCGCACGTGAATACATCTGGCCCCAGTTCCGTCCAGAAATAGGTGAACAAGTGCTAGCTTGAGTATGCCCTCACTGACGCCCCAGATCGACGGCTGCCGTAGCGGTGTGTCTTTCCATGTTCTGAAGGAAGATTCATTCTCATCTTGGAAAATTGGTGAGTGGCAGAGCGAGGTCCCATGTTCATATGAGAACGTTATGTACCGTTTTGTAACCCCACCCAACTGGCAAAAGCGTCCCCTCGCATTCCGAGAAGCCAGAGGATCTGCTCGACCGACACCCCCGTAGAGTGAGGGTCCCTTTACCTCTGTCTAACTAACGGATTATATCACGTTGGGTGTTGCCTGCCCCTACACTGCGCTGAAGGGGAACATACAATTTAATTGTTCTGACTCATTGAGAAGGATCTTTCCATGGATTAGGTGGAGGGTTGTCAAAAAGTACTACTACTCCGTGTGTTCAATGTCTTGAGCATTCTTTCTCCCATTTCGGTATGATGTGCGCACGTGTGTGCTTTCCCAACGTTCTTTTTTTTTTTTTTTTTTTTTTTTTTTTTTTTTTTTGGTTTTCGCGCGTGCGTGTGCTTGCCCTACGGGAGAATCGATCTCGTGTGTCAGCATCATGCCATCATCATCACGGCAAATCCTTGTCACCAACAYGTGCCACATGTTTCTGCTCAAGTTGCTCAAGGAATCCGTTGAGCCAAACGCAGGTCAAGCACGTGAGATCAGAAGTAGTTGAGTGGTTGGCAGATTAACGCGAAAAAAAAAAAAAAAACGTTTCATCTATAAACAGTAAAAAAGCTCGAGTCCCAATGCTTGCTGACTCGACATGTAACAGTCCATCTCTTGCGCAGCGTTCTTCCCCAAAGAGCGCACCGGAGGGGGAAAGGAGGTGCGGTGGAGGGGGGGAGAGATAGATAGAGAGAGAGAGACAAATAGAGAGAGAGAGAGAGAGAGAGAGAGAGAGAGAGAGAGAGAGAGAGAGAGAGAGAGAATTTTTACTTCAACGAGAACTTCTCATGTCGATGTGCAACGTGGAGAACGGACGCAAGGCACTGACTTCKTCTGTTTYTAGCACTAYYAGAACACACAAGTRGAACCTTCCAGCTCGGGCATCCTGATTGCGACTGCTCGCAGCTGTCATCCTCCCACTTTCGCACTGGCCAAGTCTCTTCTAGGACAGTTCCAGTTGCGGTGGGAAAATTTTTCGATTGTTTTGGACGTGGCGAAGTAAGAGCGTGAAATTTTCCGACTCGGCAAGTTCCAACGCCCTCGAGTCATCACTCATCGGTCTACTTCCCCCACAGATGGTCGAGAACTATTTCGATCTGGCTGTTCAAGGTATCCCTTTTCTTATTGGACCTCACGGGGGGGCAGCAGTGTCAAATAGCATGGAGTTCTTCTATACGCTGTTCTCTGTGTGGTGAAGCGATTCCAGTTTTAGGGCAGCGCCCGCCGCCTATTGCATTCTCGTTTTTTTTTTGTTTTTTTGTTTTTTTTTTAACGATTTATATTCCCTCTTTCAGATTCTTCTTTCAATATGGTGGCCAACATTCAAACGCTTGACTGTGAGAGGTGGCTGTGCTTGCAGGACTCTCCATTGCACCCTTTAGCTCTCCCCCTATTTCCTGCATTTGTACCCCTATAGCCGCAGCAATAGCAGAGAGTCCAATAGCAAATCCCGATAGCAATGGCGGGAACTCCATTCTTATAGGAAACCCCTATAGCAATGAGTGGCACCACATAGATGTCACCGAACCCCTATAGCAATGGCTGGCACCACATATAGCTAAGCTTAACAACAACTGCGTATAAAACCGCATATCCCACCGTCCAGTTCCATCATGTAGATTGGCATCTGATCGTTAGGTAGGGCTGCAGTGATTGAAACGCAGTTGGCGCAGCCTCATCCAGTCGGAGATTCAGCTGGCGAAGCAGGGAGGGAGGGATCTCTCTTGCCCGTACCTTGGCAGAGAAAAAAAGGAGTGGACAGTTGGTGGTTGGCGCCGATCAATTTCAAGAAGACCGGCGAGGACGAACATTAGGACGGTTCTCGAAATGAAGGTGTCGTTCCCGTCCTTCTCCCCAATGGGGGCGATGGCGGCGCTGCTGCTGTTGGTGACGATGCTCCAGCTGGCCGTGCATGGACAGGCTGAAGCTCCGCCGGCAAATTCCGTCAGCATCGAAGGCTTCTCTTATAACGGAGATGGTTGTCCCTCCGGATCTGCGGAGGGTTCCATCTCCAGCGACGGCCAGGCGCTGACGGTGATGTTCAGCAAGTACACTGCAACCACCGAGGGGCGCATCCAGAAGGAGATGCGGAAGAGCTGTGTCGTGACCGTCAAGCTTAACTATCCTCCTGGCTTCGTCTTCACCTTAGGGACGGTGACCATGCGCGGGTACGGTCAGTTGGACGCCGGCATCAAGGGCACCATCAAGACGAGCTACTACATTTCCGGCCTGCGAGGGACGGCCTCCGCCACGCACAACTTCAACGGCCCGTTCAATGACAACTACGAGGTGGCCGACGAGTTCATCGCGGCCGTTGAAAGCACTTGCAACGTGGTAAGGAACCTTCAGCTCAACTCGGAGGTCCGAGTGAATCCCGGAAAGATCCCGCCGCCGAGTAACGGACTGCTCACTATGGACTCGCAAGATCTCAAGCTCACGCAAAAGTTCTACTTCAAGTGGCGGAGGTGCTGAGCGGAGCGGTGGCGCAACTTAGACAACTAGGGGCCGGAAGGAAGAAAGGCAAGGGGGAGAGGTAGGAAGAGGGAGGGAGGGGCAATCTGGGGAAGGGAGAGATGGGGCCAAGATGTG